CATAACAGGAAAATCACTGCTCACTCCATAATACGATGAAGGTCCTCAATCTTTTGGTTTTGCAATTATATTATAACAACATCTTTACACATAACAAAAACCACTTCAGCAACTGTCCACCTGTTAAACAACAGTGTATCTTTTGATACACTCCACTATCACTGATTAAAAGCTTCCAATCTAAGATTGGTGGTCATGTTTAGTGTAGTACACAGGAAAGGCAGAGGTTACCTCGCACATCCCTCTCTGAACTCAGCAAAAGGTTTTCAGGAACACTGTTGAGCTTAACAGCGTGTAGGCCCGCACGCCATTCTGCAGCAGGGTAGAGCTGCACCAGCCTATTCCTGATTCTGGATGAGCTAGATTATATGTGTTGGGTTGACAGAGTTACATGCTGAAATTTCAACAGATTCTATTCTGGCCTCTGCCCAATCAGGGAGGGAGCCAACACCACCACCGCTGTGCTGGACTACAAAAAGTGGCAAAGTAGCCCAGCCAAGCGGCGGCATTCTGCCTTTCTTGACATCAGATATAGCAACTTGGTGCAGCAAAGCTGTTGCGGTGTCGAGGGAGCCTCATAAGCTCTCTATCTTGCATGAGAGCGGGGGTCCGGGGAGTCCCAAGTTGTGTGGGTTGGATCTTGCTGGGATGGTTTGTGTGTTTGTTGAAAGTTGGATCTTGTTTCCACTCATACCATAAATCTGCTTCTTTAATTCACATTTATGGTGAAATGATCAACATGATTGATTGGACAAATTTTTTTTCAGAATTAATTGGCTTTTAGAGTGTCTATCTTTCCAGCAGTAACTTACCACTCACATCAAGTAGACTAATTAGTTGTTCACTGATGATCAAGTAGGTAATTATTCTGTTTTGTTGATGTCATGACAAAAAAAAACTCAAATATATTCTGAGTTTCCCTTTGAATGGATTGTATGATATTCTTCCTTCTAATATTGATCATCATTAATGATTTCATTGTTTGTTTCTCCCAACCACACTTAGCATGTATACATACTTAAAGCAGTCTTTCTAGACACCAGTATCACTGGTTCTGCACACTTGATTCTTGAGTCTGCCCGCCTTGTCCCTTGATGGTGCCTACTCGTTGAGCCTGTTCAAAATAGAATCTCTAGTCCTCTCTGCCTCAAAAGAATCAAACCTTGATTTTTGGAGGGGTGCAGTAGTTGAATAACAGATGAGAGGACCCTGAAAATTATATAGTGCACATCATAAATTGGTAGATCACCAACCTTTCCACCATTTTTGATTTCACTTTTGTTTTGTTTTGTTTTGTTTTGAAGCCTATAATCAACCACCTCAATATCATGGCCCTTGAAACATATATATAATATATCAAGTTGTGGAGACTTTTGTCCATGTTATATACCACATCAACCATTGGGAAGGTTATAAGATCCAAGCATTTTTGCTTAGGTGTGTGTGTGTGAGTGGCTATCTGTGATGTTTCTAGCTATGTTGAAATGAGGGGGTATGTGTGATCTGCTCCATCTCCATTCCCTTGATCATCGGCGGATGATTGATGGAATGGCCGTCATCAGTTTCGAGGTTGAGCCCTGGGCTGCGCGGCACACACACACACACTCGCGCGATCAGCTCTGAAAGCACAGCCTCTCTTGAAGACTGCACATGTTTTCTTTTCTTTCTTTTTGTTTTGATCAAATCGTTACATACGTGGGTTCTCACTCGTGTTTGTTCAGTATGTTCGTTCTGGACTCATCAGCATGTGTATGTATTGATCTGGATTTGTGAGTGAGATGATGATGAATATTTCGACAGAGGACTCCATGACGAGCTCCAGTACTGGATCATGATGATTTATCAAGTCGAAGATTATTTAATTTCGTAAACGCCTGCGTAATATTGTATAATCTTTTTAC